ATGAAGTTCAACACCACCACAATAATCTTGCTGTGTATATTAATATTTAGGAAAAGGTGTATCGAAAATCTTACAACTTATCATGAAAATGTGATTGAGTCCTAAAACTTTTGAAAAGTGCAATCAAGTCGTCTCATTAATTCCATCTAATGTGGCTAACGAAGAATGTTGATGTGGCTTTTCTATTACTTTGTTAAGATTATTGGGGTGTGATTCATACTCTCCATTGACAAAAGAACGGGGGACCCGCTCCCCGGTGAGCAGGCGGGGGTTCGGGGGGCCACCCTGGCAGAGGTCGTAGGGGGTTGTGCTCCCACGACACCATAGGACTTTTATAATTTGGGTCTGTATTTTATTGGTAGTTTGGACTTAGGCCCATGAATTGCTACTTAGTATATATAATTTGTTTCTCTTGTAATTAAGGAATGTAATATAGAGGTGGAAGGTGCTAAATATAATAGAATCTTCTGCTGAACGTGACCCTAGTTTAAGGGTAAACCGGAATAAAATCTTGTGTCTTAATTTCTCTTCATCGCCTTTACTCTCTATTTCGTTGTATTTGTGTGACTGATCCTAACAAAGATACATGGTCCCTGTCAAGCCCCACGTCAGAAACTTAAAATTTAAAATGAAAAGAAAAGACAAAAAAAGAAAAGAAAAGAAAAGAAAAGAAAAGAATAATTAGTGAAGAGAGACCGAAACTTATACCGATCGTCTTCTTCTTTGGCCAGACTCGCAATGTCTTCTCATCAAGTGGCGTGAATTAGGAACAGTTCCTACCATTAAACTTGAGCTTTGCATTGAAGAGAAAAAATCGATCATGAGACATACAAATTAGAATATATTTATAATATGAATAAATGTGATGCACTAAGCCTTCATTCGTTTTACGGAAAATATGACATTTCTAGAAAATATTTTCCAAGAAGAAATGATACAATTTTTCGGTATTCGGCTGAAATCTGAAAAAGATCCGAAAAATATTTTCCACCGTTTGGTATGGAAAATCTGGTTTGATTTTCCTCCTCCATGCACTAGTTTAAATAATTTTTATTTTTTAAAATAGATTTTTTTTAATTATTTCTTCTTTTTTCTTTTTTCTTTTTTCTTTTTATTTTTGTTCTTTTATCTTCTTCTCTAGCCAGTCGCTGGCCAAGGCGACTGCTGGTGATTGGCCACAGGCGAGCTCAAGCCTTATCGGATTTGATGAGCTGGGCGAGGCTCTGGCAACCTCGGGAAAAGCTCGAGCCTCACTCATTTTGCCAGAATTGGCGAGGCTTAAGCTCGCCGACCTATAGCGAGGCTCGAGCTTGCCTGTGCGCAGTGGCCGGCTGAGAAGAAGGAAAAAGAAAAAGAAAGAAAAGGAAAAAAAGGAAATAAAAATATAAAAAAAAATTTAAAACTCGATTTAAAAAAAGAAAAGAAAAAATAAAAAAAGGAAAATGTATTTTGTGAAAGAAAGTGAGGTAAAAGAAAATATGTAAAATGTTTTCTACTTTCTAAAAAGTAAAAAATATTTTCTCCACTTTTGAAGGTGTTTTTTCCATGGGTGAAAAATGTTTTCCCTAATTAGTTTATTTTTCATGAACCAAATGTCGGAAAATCCGGAAAATGTTTTTCTAGAAAGTTGTTTTCCGTGAAACGAATGGAACCTAAGTTTAAAGTAGATTTGCCTATTTGTAATCTCTAGTGGCTTTTGTTTTTGAAGATTTTGAGGAACTCCTATATTGGTCAGTAAATTTCACCTTCTTTTTATGTATTTATCCTAATTTTAATTCGGAGTGGATTTGAATTTGTAATACGACTGCTGAAACATTCGACACTTCGAATCATGGCAAACTATTGGACGAATCTTCCCGAGTAAATGCTAAAACTCATGGCACATAAGACGGCCGTGGAGGACATGATCAATTTCAACGCAGTGTCGCACTTGACTTTGTATTAGGATGGTGACGAGTACTCCATAGCTCATGCCCGCAGAGAATCAACAGAGGAAAAGGAGTGAGTTCTATAGCTTCTCAGACAGGAAATTCAGGTTTGTAGAAAATAGAGGGAAAAATTATCTAAAATGTCCTAAAACTATTGTACGGGAACTTATTTTCTAGGAAAAGGTCTTCCCCTTTTCAGATTAGAGAATTTATTTTCCTAACTTTAAACATGCATAATCTCTTTAGTTGTAAGTGATTTTTTCGGTGACCGATTATTTTCAGCAAATCAAATTTATGAAAGTTTGAAAAACTAATTTGTGAGGGCCTGCAATAGGGGTGTGCAACCGGACCGGATTTACCCGAGAACTGGACCGGCCCACCAGAAAAATAGGTCCGGGAACCGGTTCCTGTTTGAACCGGTCCGGGAATAGGTTCTATTTTTTTTGGAACCGGTTGTAACCAGTCCGGTTCCCGAGTCTAAGTAAAATCTCACCCGGATCGGTTTTAGAACCGGTTTTAAGTTACTCCAAAAAAACCCTAGCATCTGTTGCTCTTAGTCTCTCCCTCAAGTCTCTTCCAGTTCGCGAGCGAGTCCCCTTTCTTCTGGCCCTTCTCAGTTTGCTTGTAAGAACTCGTCGCCGGCGGCAGCTCGCCGCTCGTCGCCGGCGGCAGCTCGCCGCTCGTCGCCGGCGGCAGCTCGCCGCTCGTCGCCGCGGCTGCTCGTTGCTGCAACCCAGCTCATCGTCGCGGTTGCTTGCAGCAACCCAGCTCGTAGCATCTCGTTGCCACGGTTGCTCACCGCAACCTAACTTGTCGCGTCTCGTCGCCGCAGCTGCTCACTGCCTGAGTCGCTACAAGCCTACAACTCCACTCATTGCCGCTCGTTGCCGCAACCCAGCTTGTCCCAGCTTATAGCATCTCGTCGCCACGGCTGCTCGCCGCAACCCAACTTATCGCCTCTCGTCACCACTCGTCGCCGTGGTTGCTCGTTGCCTCAGTTGCCACAACCCAACTCGTCGCCATGGCTGCTCACTGCCTCAGTTGCCGCAACCCAGCTCGTCGTCGCGGCTGCTCGCTGCCTCAGTCGCCGCAACCCAGCTTGTTGCCTCTCGTCGCCGCGGCCCGCAAGAACACAACCCCTCTCGTCGCCTCTCGCCTTGTTGTTGCCGACTCCGACGCAACTATCGAGAGAAAGGTGAGTCCGCAATTGAATTTTTTGGTACTTTTTTGGGCAACCCAGAGCACAGAGCACTTGTAAACATGTCAAGGGGAGCATGTCAATTGCTGGACATGGTGCTTGTGGATTGTTTATTTTGCTCCAAATTTCTGAATCTAGAAAAAAAAAAAAAAAAACAAGCTATCGGGTAGACCCTAGAACCGGACCGGAAAAACAGGGTAAGTTCCAAAACGGGGTCTAGGAAAAACATGATAGGTTCCAGGTTTCAAAAACTGGGAACTGATTGTAACAAAGTTGGTTCTAGGTTCCAGGTCTGGACCCTACCCATCTTGGAACTGATCACCCTTAATGCAATATATCTGGATGGGCTAGAAGAAGGGTGCTAAACTAAATAGCCCAACCAAGCCCAAAGTAAAACCTCTCTTCTCATTTTTCATAATTGTATTGTTTCACGGGTTCAAGCTAACATTCCTGTGGGTAACTTGGGTTTGCACTGTCTTACATGAAAATTACTGTCCAAGTTGCCCCACCGGCAGTGAGCGTTGGTTGGGGATCTTTGCTCCGCAGCAACGTTCAGATTTCGGATCTCCTACTTTGCAGCATCCTGGACGAGAAATGTACCAAAAAAGTCATAAACCTATTGCATTGATTCCAATTCAGCTTTAAATATTTCAATTGTATCAATTTAGTTTTAAATCTTTTCACAATAGTACCAATTCAGTTCATTCGGCCAATTTAGACTGGAATCATTGACATGGACGCTAACCATCTAACATGGCGTGGCTAATGCTGATATGGACATTTTTAAAAAATATTTTTAATAGTTTTTTGAATATTTTTCTTTTCTTCCCTTTTTTTCCTTTCCCTTTTCTTTTTGTTGGTGCCCAATCGCCGGCCACTGGCCATAGGCCGTTGCTGATGAGGCCTCCCTCACTAGGTCTAGCGAGGCCGACCCTCATCCAAGCCAACGCGGCCTGGCGAGCCTCACCTTGGCTTGGGTGAGGGCGAGGCCGCCCTAGCTTGGGCGAGGCTCGGCCTAGCAAGGTTGACCCTTGCCCAAGCAAGGCCAGCCTCGTCGGTCACCAGCAAAAGGAAAAGGGAAAGCAACAACAAAAAGGAAAAAAAATAATTATAAAATTATAAAAATATGTCCACGTCAACGCTGACCGTGCCACATAGAACGGCTGGCGTTCACATTAGCGATTTCTGGTCAATTTCCGATCTAAATTGGCCGGATAGACTGAATTGATGCTAATGTAAAAAAGGTTTATGACTAAATTGGTCCAATTGAAAGATTTAGAACTGAGTTGGTACCAAGGCAATATATTTAATTATTTAGGACTTATTTGGTACTTTTCCCCGTCCTGGACTCACCCGATGCGAGGGATGGGAATTCTTTGCAACCTTCTCTCATGCTACTACTTCGCTAACCATCGGTATTTACTCTCACGGCGATCCTTGTTGATTCGCACGACGTTCCAAGTGTCCTATGTTACTTGGGTCAAAGTGTTTTAAGTTATAGCAATACTTTCTTTCGGCGACTGAACTCTAGCCAATAGGATGCAGCACTCCACTGTTTCACATAACAGTATGACGCTTGTATTGCTTTCCCGCGACTCTCTATTCACTTGGTCAAAAGGCCCATCAAAGTTGGAGAATAGTGTTTGAGGCATTGTCAGTGAAAAGAAAGGGGAGCTTGCTAGATTGATTCATCTAGGAAAGAAAGGACCTATAAAAGAAGTTATCATATGTGGAGAGTCTAATAAATCATGTCGATCGCATATTAAAAATTAGTTCAATCCACGCCGAGTCCCACTAAGAAAATGCAAATTTCTATGTAGATTCGATATTATAATTGAGTATGTTCACCACATTATTTGAGTCCATCTAATATTTCTCTATCAGCCATTTCGGGCAAGGAAATGTAGCTAGAGAGCCAAAGTACTTTGGATTGGTGTTCTGCATGAGAGGACGGTGCTTCCACCACCACACCCTTGTGCAGCTTAGATGAGTGCTCGTTGCGTGTTGCAGCAGATGAGACTATGTTTGATGTTCCAACTGTGAGGACGACCATCCAATCACATTCCGCCGAACCTTGGTACTTCGACCGAGAAGAATTCATAGGATCAATGTTCCAACCATATTGCCCAAGTGCTGGATGTCTCAGACGGCAAAAAAGAGTGTATTCAAGTCCAGAAAAGCCGCACGTACCAGGAATCCTTTAGATGTAGATGTTCCAATTCCTAGAAAAAACAAAAAGAACACCGGATCTTTCAACCTTGTTAGACCCATGTTGAGCAATCCGATTAAGAAAACACCAGACAATGGATTCTCAGCTAATCTGTACTTATTTGATCGTAGGGTTCTCCTTCCTTCTTTCTAAATGGATTCCCACTTATTACAGGCGTCCCTGCCTGGCTAATTCATGCCCTCCATTCAGAGGAAGAACTTAGCCCCACTAATCCTCTTAAACCGGCCTCAATTGTTCTCCTTTTTTTGGCACGCAAGGTCTATCTGATCACTGTGCATGGTTCTTGTTCATCTGTTTTATTCTTGGCGTACAGCACAAGTAGCATTAAATGAAAAAATAGCAACGGCATCCAGTTTATGCGATCCTTAGTTTTGTGACATAATGATGATACATATTCTCAGCCACTAACAAGTCACCTACTCGTGATCACGATGAGGCAAGTTAAGGCCTGCGTAGTCTCTACAGAAATCTAAAACTTCACTAGCATTAGATTTTTCTTGGACTGATTAGCCAAATCTTCATCAGAGCCGAGATAATCAAACCAGCTTAATCAAACTGTGGACACCCTTCTGCTGTTTGAATATATCTCTAGATTCTGAAGGCAAAATCAATCTCTGATTATACCTTCATGTGCAGGTGGCAGAGGAAATAAAAAAACACGTGCTCTCAGCCTCTGCATTTTGCCTTCTGTTCCGGAAAAAGGCCAGCAACCTAGGAAAGAATCGCCGTCATGGTTCCTGCATAAAGGCAGGTATCGTGCGCTTTTACAACTGCTGGTAAGAGTATAATTTCTTACTAAAATGTAAAGTTTTAATTTCAAATCGAACAAACAAAATTGAAAGTAGATCAAAAGGTTAGAACTGGTATAGTTCGATTTGAAACATTTTCTATTATTTGCAGACCAAATCAACATGTTGTTCAAGACTCAATAACAGGATTGCTACTGGTGAAGAATGGAAATTGTACTTTGGGGCTCAATAGAGATACGATCTTTCTCAATTTTAAATGAAACGATGTGCAGGTTCTCCAATAAAACTTACCTTTTCTGGCAATATGGCTAGGATATTACTCAGTCAGTAGAAAGGTGAATAACCAAAAATCCACAAATAGAATGTCATATTGAAAAATATTCAAGTTCTTACCTGCTTGTATAGCTCTTGCTCCTGCTGGTACCACTTTCAGTTATATCTCGATTGTGACTCCCCTGATATTCTGCAACAGGACTCATTTTAATCCTATACACCGTGTCCACATTCCTCTGATCGGACCCTTCAAATGATGTCCTCGGCGAAATCTTCGACCAGCTGTTCCGTGATGTTGCTGGTTTCTTATTCAAAGCCAAGAAAGATGGGAAAAACATCTTGATCAGGAAAGTTCCTGTTTCCATGCTATTACATCTTGACATCTGATGCTGATGACTAGGGGTCCTCGTGACTTTCTTCCTCTTCTTCCTCTTCTGATTTTTATTTGACTCTACCTTAGCACTGGGAAACTGAAATTTTTCCTCTTCCTCCTCTTGATTCTCCTGCAAAGCAATCCACGTTTAATTATTTGTCTTCCAGTTCTAAAACATCATTTCCTTAGTGTTTCCCCTGATTGGTTTCAAGGCATATACAACAGATGAAGAGCACTTATAAAGCACATCGGTATGTTACTATGTTATGTCAACTGTGTGATTACAGATATGAGATCAGATTTCATGATTGAACAAGAAGCGAACCAAACCAAAATGAACAGAACCAAGTCCACTAATACCTGCAAAGGTAGCTGCTTATCCACAATATCTTTGGGGGAAAGCTCGTTACTCGACTCGGGCAAGTTCCGGATCATCTCCATCATTTCTCTTCTTCCTTCTTCGATCCTGCGAGTCCTTGTTGAAGGAGAGAGATTGCTGTAGTGGTGATCTTTGGCAATACTTACCGACATTTTTTCACGCTTCCACAGAGTTGGCGAGTCAGGATCACAGTTTCTGCTGTGGTGGTTTCTCATTTTACTTGGAACCCAGAAATCAAACTCAAGATCTCTGCTTTTCGCAAGAGTGTTGTGGGATTTGGGAGTGAAAGAGAAGAGGTGGTTCTAACGAAAACGTGGCTTGAGGGAGAGAGAGAGAGAGAGAGAGAGAGAGAGAGAGAGAGAGAGAGAGAGAGAGAGAGAGAGAGAGAGAATTTAGTGCTGTTGGAGAGTGATGTTCATGGGAAATAGGACGTGCGTGTCATGAGTGGTGTTAATGCAACGAAAGTCGTTGGCCATCAAAGATGAGTGGTCGAGTAATAACTCTATTGAAAGTCTTAAAATTTATTATGAAAATAAAATTGGGTCTTAAAATTTTTAAAAAGTGTAATAAAAAAATTAAAACTTATCATGAAAGTGCAATCGAATCCTAAAACTTTTAAAAAAAGCAATCAATTCTTAAAATTTGTCAAATTAGTCCAATCAAGTCATTCCATCGATTGTATTTTTTGAAAGTTTTAGGACTCGATTGCACTTTTCTGACAAGATTTGAGACTTGATTGCACATTTTAAAAGTTTTAGGATTCAGTTGCGCTTTGTTAACAAGTTTTATGACTTTCAGTGCACTTATCCCGCTTCAAATAAGCACTCCTTTTTCTCCATTTGTCTGATTCACACAGTTTTTAGTCACTACTACATTTAAATTTATTATGTGAACACAACGTCATCAATTTACGTGATCAGCTTACTAAAATGAATTACGTAACGGTATTAAGAAAGTACTCTAGATGAATATCTTGTTTTTTTTCTTCTTCTTTTTTGAGAATTTCTACACAGAAGTGGTCTTTTTTTTCTTATTTATTTCTTTTCCTTTAATTGATTCCGCATATAATCAGTAAAGGGGCACCATTATCATACCTCTTTTAGCTCTCTCCTTCTGCCTTTCTCTTCACATTTCCTTAAGTATTGGAGAGTCCTAAAATCCAGAAAACTTCCTTTGTTTGTAGCGTGTAGGTCTGGCATATAAAGCAACATTCTCATCGACCCAATTCAATCGTGATATGCGCAATGCGTTCAGCAATTTTATGTTTCCTTTCACATCACCATTGCGATGATTGCCGGAAAAATTTCTGCGATCGGGGATCGTGGATGTGGATCTCAGGTTTATGGGCCCAAAATCAACTACGCACATGGCTATTGTGTCCTAGCAACAAACAAGGCCACAACTTAACTGCCCTTTTTGCCAACTAGAGTCTATTTGGGCCAACATACTTCTCATTGGCGTTCAAACCCATTTGGGCCACAGAATTGAGCAAATCCATCGAACTAGAGGAATAGTCAAAACCGTACCGCAGGCTCGATTTCCAATAATTCGACAAAATAAAAAAGATCAATAACATGCGGTTCATCCGGTCATTTCGCTAGGGTATTTGGTTTTTCAGTTTTCTGGCGGCCACATTTTTGTTTGTATCGATCACAATCAGCATCCATAGTTGACATGTTTTTTTGTCTGATCTTATCCTATCCTATAATTGTTTCACAAGCCACCGTATGTATTATGTGCTATACGTAAATTGCGAAATCCTATTCCCTCACTTATGCGTCGCCATCCCAGCCCCTCGAGAAAGTGGGGAATCAATTTCCTCACCTTCTCCTTCCCAAATGGGAAGGATGGCTACCAGGGCAATTCGAGTGATTCATAGTTGACACTTGAGTATAGACAAAAGCACCAAAAACCATCACATTGACACGTGTCGATCATTTCAATTTCAATTTGGTGCTAAATACGTAACTTATAGATGTAGAGATGTCATGTTGGAGGACTTATTTTTTTATGGAGGAAGACGAGGGGATCAATCATTTCGCTTGAATTAACTAGTCAGTTAAAAATATTTTTATTATCAATGTTTATGCTTAAATACATTCGTGGACGATAAAAGTATTTTTAATTCATGAATGAATGAATGACATAAAAAAAAAAAGCGAAAGTATTTACGCTTTTTATTTGATCGATAGCTTACTTGTACAAGACAAGAGAATGGCATAAAAATGTAGAAAAGAGAAACAAAACATAAATATGGTATGCATGGATTAGCCTATACACTGTGGAGACAAATTTTGGATGAGATCACAGAACAACCGACGATAAACACGGAGCCATTTTCCAACTCGAAGCTACTGCACAAGCAGAACGCAACACAGAACTCAGAAACAGAACGCAACAACAGATCCACATTATATATAGCCATCCAGAATGATTTTTTTGGCGACCCCAACGTGTGAGCGAAGATTAGAGAGGTGACTTTCGATTTTACGTGGGAATGTAGGCCGCGTTGCGACCGAGAGGAGAGCTGAAGATTTTACCGCCAAGGGCTTTGAAGCTTCGGGCCAGACAGGCGAAAATGAGACGCTTTATGCCTCCGCGCTTGGGAGGAAGAAGAAGCAGCTCGTCTCTTCACTGCTAATTCCTTCTCTTTCACAGCTTCCTGCATGAGAGCTATCGCACTTCCCCTGCCGTGCATTTTGGAGAGAGAGAGAGAGAGAGAGAGAGAGAGAGAGAGGAGGCTTGGTCTTGCTTGGTAGTGGGAGAGATGTGGTTTTTATGCGGTGTTAGTCTCTGGGCATGTTATGGAGGGTGGAATGTGCTTCCGGGAGGAGGTTTCCTTGAATGTTCCATGCTGGGGATGCACTCGGCTTTCTTTTGCTCTAACTGAACACCAGAAAGAGAATCTTTATCCAGAATATGATAAACCTACGTACACAAAAAAAGTTGTCAGTGGAGACCAACGAGCTCCTCAGGTGATCAAATCTTTCCTTGCACTTGCAGTTTGCACCGCCTCCGTTTCCCAGTTGCTATTTGCAGGTGATCAATAAACCTCATAAACCAATTGCAAGTCTAGAAAATAATGGCTCAAACAGCTTAGGTTTTTTCGTGTGCATGTCAACTTTCAATCAAATCCTACACCATTTGAGTTTGAGATCGGTTCTTTACAATTGATCCTTGCCAATGTGCATAAAATAGTTAGGGTGTTTTTTAAATATCGCGGTACCAAAATAGCCAAGACACACTATATAAAATGGTTTTGCAAGCTGAAAAATAACAAATCATCAGGCCATTAGTGAAAAACAATCACCTGAGAAAAGTTAGCGCATAGAGAATATAATACGTTTTCATTACCGATCAACGAAATGATTTAAATCAAAAAAAGGTTAGGGGCATATCGGTCCTAATGCTTCAGTTGATGGGGGTACTTTCTTGTTATTCCAACAAACAGCTACTTCTTGTCCTATTGGGAGATATGGTATCTTATGATTGGGTTTGAATAATATTTTCCCACAATTTAGAAATGAGAGGGAAGCCTCTTATGATTATTCTGATACTATAAGCATTGTGGGATCAGAAAAGGATCACATCGATCCATCTTTTGGATCCAGATAAATTCCAAGGGGCTCATGGTGGGGTTTGATCAAAATAAACTCAGAGTTAAAAATGCCGAGCATTTTTTTAATTAGTTAATTAGAGAGAGATTAAACCTTTACAGAAACAAAAAGTGAGTATTTGCCGAGCATCTTTCAATTAATTAATTAGAGAGGGAGAAATTAAACCTTATAGAAACACGAAAAAGAAAAGCGAGAGCATTTTTAAATTAATTAATCAAAAGTGCTCGGCCTCTCTCTCTCTCTCTCACACACACACTATACTCTCTCCCCCTCTCTCTAATCATTTAATTAAAAAATGCTCATGGCGTCTCTATGTGGCTGGTGGTGCTGCTGCTGCAAATTAAATGTACGTTCTTTTCCCCCATGTCTATTAGTGTTCGGAAGCGAATTGATTTTGTCAAAAATGGAAATCGAAAGAGAGGTGCCTCAACTTTAGTTTTGAAGCTCCGTCCGAGTGGCTGAATAAGTTTCAAGCCCTAAGTTTTTACCCGAGTGTTTGTGCACTAATTTTCGCGATTTGAAAACACATAATGGCTTTCTGTGTTCGAAGTCTTTGCTCATTGTTTCAGTCTTTTCACCATTTCGATCTTTAAACATATACTCGAGTTGTATATTCTGCGTTTCGGAACATGGATGAACCCTAGAGAAATGGGTAAAAGAAATTTCCATTCAAGATTTAATAATTGGTCTATCCTTTTTTTTTTGGTAAAGTATATAATTGGTCTATCCTTAGTCTAGGTAAAGTCAAATAGTAAGCTTCTCGGTGGAAAAGAGAATGAACCTTTTTCCCAGGTAATGGTCTCCCTTTGTTTAATTGAACTGAATGGTGAAAAAGTGAGAGAGAGGAAAGTGAATAATGGCATGTTGACCCTTTTTTTATATATGTTTTTGTTGATATGGGCAAGTTATATGTCCGCACTGACATACTTAGAAAAATTATGATTCCTAGTGGTGTGTTCTTTCTCCTCTCCAACTTTCAAAGCGCTGAAGCATCTGCATGGTACAACAATGTCTTCGACTTGAAGAGTCTGAGGATTCATCCGCGGGTGGAAAATAGTGTGTGCATAGATGTGATGGGAGAAAACTGGTACGGAGGTGCGGCTGGGTATGTGCTCGGCGTCACTCCTACATGACTCAACAACACAAACACACAAGCGATCAAAAAATGACGATGAGGTGCACCTACTTTAAGAGAGATGGAGGAGATAGATAGTAGCCATTAAGCAATCCGCTCTACAGATTAACCATGACTCAAAGATGTCTGCTGGGAAAGAGAAGATGGAGGAGAGAGACAGGAATCGTCAAGCGGAGATTTCCGCTGTGAAAGGTCAACTGAATGCATTTAAACTCCATGTTGCAGCAGTTTATGAGTGAGATGAGAGGTCGGTTGCTCTTCGGACTCACAGATAATGAAGTGATTCTTAACTATCATAGCATGAGTTATATTGGGATCATTGTGCAATATATGGTGTTATACTCAGATTTCGGAACATATACTGCAGTTTCTTGTGATTATTTATGTGGGGTAGGGCTTTCTTCATTTAGCTTTAGTGTTTTTGTTACTGGGACATCAATTTTGGGCTGAGAGTTTTGCCCCATATGAGCAGTTTTGTGTTTGTATTTGTTATACTGGGACGCACTTACCATCACGACTGTTACATTGAAGTGTTCAATAGCTATTGCGG